ACTACAGACATGCGCCACCATGCCCAGCTAATTTTTTTGTAGTTTTAGTAGAGACGGGGTTTCACCATGTTGACCAGGATGGTCTCGATCTCTTGACCTTGTGATCCACCTGCCTCGGCCTCCCAAAGTGCTGGGATTACAGGCTTGAGCCACCGCGCCCGGCCCTGTTTTGCCTTCTAAAGTTACAGCCTCTGATTCTGATAGCTCCTCCTGAAGCACAGTCTTCAAGAAGCTATGCTAAGCATTATTTCTGCTGTAAACACCAATAAAACTCAGCTACAAAATCTATCAGCCATGTCTTCAATAAATAATTATAATTAAAAACACCCTGGGCTGGGGAATATTATGTTCTACAAAAGATAAAAACGAGAGCTGAGGGAAATAATTTCTAGAATCCAACTCAGCAATCTAAAAAGCAAGTCATTTGTATGGCCAAATTAAAGCTCTTTTCCTACCATCTCCAATGCCTTTGTCAAACAAGCAAACAAACAAAACCAAAAAACCCAGGCTGTCTTATTATTGCTACCTTTGGAAACGGAGAATACTTTTAACTCTTCTTAGAATTCTTTTGCTACTTGTGGGATCTTGCATATAATATCAGTTGCATTAGTTATGGTTTAAAGGAGCTGAAAGAAACTATAGGAACTAAGAATGATTCGGTTAGGTAATTTCAATGTAATTAGAATTATTCTGATTACTGCCTTTGGCCTCTGGCTAACTTAATTGGTAAACGGTGTCTTCAAGAAAACAATAACAGAGTAATGCTTTCATTTTATAGATGTATTTTCAATTTCTCTTAATAGCTGCTCTGCCCCATTCCCCATGCCAGCCTTACTCGGTTAATTTTGAACAACAGTATTTTTCTGCTCCATTACCCCTTCCATCCTACCTCTCAAGTGTAATTAAACTCTGCATTTCAGCAGATGGATTGTACCTGCAAAAGCACCAGGATCACACAGTACTACCTGGGGACTAGCTGATGGCAAGCATTCTTCTTTTCTTACAAAAATTATTTATAATATCATTTTCTTGCAGTTGAAGTTTGGAATTGCAAACATTTCTTTCTCAGTCACCCCACTGGATAAACCAATAAGAGCAACTCAACTCTGAATAGCAAATAAAATCTTGCTCTTTCAAGTCTAGAGGCTTTGCAAAAATAAGGATTTTGTGTCAAAACTCACTGTGTTTTTTCCCAGAGATATGAGATAATTTTCTGGTCATCTGAGCTTTTGCTGCCGTCCAGGGTTGTGCTATCCACAGGAAGGGTCAGCTCTTTATCTGGGCCTGCATCTGCCTGAGGAGGCTTGTTATTTTCTGGAAGACAGAGAGTTAGAGGTCAAAAGCAGCCTCCAGGTGGGAAAGGAGAGGAACCAATTGGGACATATGTTCTGGAAGCCCATGGACTCTGCCTCTCAGGCCACAGAACTGTCAGATACTACAGGAGATCTGGTTACCGTCAGGGAGCACACAATAGGGAACATAAGACTGAAACATATAAGTAATTCTGAAAGAAACATAGTAGAACACAATGAAGTTATAATGCCACACTAAACTTGAACTCTAATGCTATGGGAGTTCAAATGAAAGGGTCTGAGTGATAAGACAGGGCTTTTCTGAGGAAGTAAGTTTTAAACAGGCCCTTATAAGATGTGTTATTGGGTTGGTGCAAAAGTAAATGCCATTGAAAAGAATGGCAAAAACAGCAATTACTTTTGTACCATACATAGGATTTGTGATAGCATAAACTCTATCTCCTAGGTCTCTTTGGGGGTACCAACAAGTAGCCAAGGGAAGGGCACAAGCTGAGGCTGGGAAGTATCTTTCATCTCTAGCTATGAAAAAAGCACAAGCGTAAGAGACAACAGAAGTCACCAGAGGCTGTATGGATTAGTGTCTTCTGCTTCTGCCCTCATACAGCTCAGAACCCAACCCTCTTTTCTCCAAGATTAAGTGGATCCACCAGTAGAAAAGCCTGAACCACAAGGCTAGAGCTTACCAGGCTGCACAATAACAGTCACTTGAGCAGTGGCCTGCTGTCCTATTGTGTCAGTCACTGTGAGTTGGTAAGTGTAGTCTCCCTCTTGCATTGCAGAGAGCTGTAATATTGGTGTTCTAACACCCTAGAAATACAAATAAAGAAGAGGAAAAGTGGACTCCCAGAATCACAACATCACACAATAATTCCTACTCTGGTAAAGACAACTGAGTTTCCTAAACCTAAGACCTAAGTTGGTACTGGGCTATTACTTCCCAGTTCAACACGAGTGAATGTGGAGTCAGATATCATGAGGCACCTTGCTAAGGGTTTCCCCCTTCAAGGAAACAACCCTCTAACACAGCAGCAGTTTCAAATAAAGTCAGAACTCTCATAAGAGAGGGAGGTATGGGGAAATGTGCAGAGATTACCAAAGCCAGTCTCTATGACCCAAACCAGAAAGAACACCATGAACATATAACAAATGACCCGGTTTTAAAAACACTGTTTAAAAAGATCCTTTTCCTACAGTGCTCCTAACAAAGCTGTCTCAGTGAAACATGGCAGCAGCTCAAGATGCTATATAACACCACACTGTCTCCTTCAGGTCTGTACAGGTTCTGCAACCACCTAACACAATATTTAAACAAAAGCCAGGTAAAATGGAAGCTTTAAGAGAGGCCTTAAATCTAGAAATATAGAATATTGAGTATCAGAACATTATAAATAATTTTGGGCAAGCTTCCAATACAGGAACGTCCTGTAGAACAGTGGGCAAAAACTAGTAGCCCGTGGGCTAAATCCAGCTTGCAAATATTTTGTTTGGCCTATAGTATCTTACATATTGGAAATTTTCACATAAAGGTCACAATTTCTGTCTTCTCTTGAAAAGCTGGGCTATCAAGCAATGTTGGGCCCATACCTCCATGTGGCAACAACCAGCTGGGGCTGAAGAGTAGATGACTCCTTTAGTCAGGGCTTAAGCTCTCCAGTTCAGCACAGTCACCATCCAGTGTTCTTTCTTTATGTTACCTGCCTGGTGACAGATCTAGTCTCTCTTCTTAAGTATCTCTAGAGAGAAGATACTCACCATCTAGTGAGACAATCTATTCTAACTTGTTATAGAGCTCACTAAGATTTGCACCTTTGTAGCTTCTGAATAGTCTGACTCTCTGGAGTCATCCAGAACAACTAACATTTCTCATCCAGGCTTTTCCTCTAATACTAAACATTTAAGATAAATATATATATATATTGAGACACAGTCATGCCCTGTCACCCAGGCTAGGGTGCAATAGCACAATCTCAGCTCACTGCAACCCCCATCTCCCAGGTTCAAGAGGTTATCCTGCCTCAGCCTCCCAAGTAGCTGGGCTTACAGGCACGCACCACGACACCTGGCTAATTTTTTATCTTTAGTAGAGATGAGGGGTTTCATCATGTTGGCCAGGCTGGTCTCAAACTCCTGACCTCGTGATCCACCCACCTCAGCCTCCCAAAGTGCTGGGATTATAGGGGTGAGTGACTGCACCCAGCCAAGATAAAGATTTTTGCTACCATGTTAATCAAAGGCCCCTAAAGCTTTCTCAGTTTGTTTGGAGGTTTTTAAAAATGCAAATATTCTATACACAAATGACTTTGGTAATTAAAAGGGAGCAGACATAAGCCTTGGATGAGTGACCCAGTTCAGCAGCTCTACTTCTCTTGGGCAAGAAAAAATAGGAACCATTCCCTCCTACCTGCATTTCCACCACTTTCCCTTTGCTGCTTGGGCTGAGTGACCACTCATAGCTGGTGATGCCATGATCATCAGTGCTCTGGTTCCCAAAGAGGGTGATGGAGTTTTGGGGCAGGGTGATCACTTGGTTGGGGCCTGCGTTGGCCACAGGGGGGTAATCCACAGCTTTGTTCACTGTCAGGTTTGCAGTAGTAGAGTTGGTAGCTCCATCAGAGTCTACTACAGTCAAGCTATCAGGGCAGAGACAGGAGTGTGATCAGGGATGGGTTTAAGGAAAGAGGAATAAATACTAGAGGACTGAAAATTAAGGCTAAGAAATACCAATGCTGCAGGGTTACCTATTCTTACCCATTCCTATTGGAAAAGCAGAAAGTACTACTAGAAGCTAACACCGACTGAAGTTTTATGATGTGCTAGGCACTGTTCCAAGTTCTTTATATCTCATTAAATCCTCACAACAACCCTATAAAGTATTATCTTCATTTTACTCCTCATATACATGAGGAAAAAGGCAGAGAGGCCAGATGTGGTGGCAAATGCTTGTAATCCCAGCACTTTGGGAGGCTGAGGTGGGTGGATCACCTGAGGTTGGGAGTTTGAGACCAGCCTGGCCAACATGGTAAAACCCCATCTCTACTAAAAATACAAAAATTAGCCAAGTGTGGTGGTGCAGGCCTGTAATCCAAGCTACTTGGGAGGCTGAGGCAGGAGAATCACTTGAATCCGGGAGGTGGAGGTTGCTATGAGTCAAGATTGTGACACTGCACTCAAGCTTGGGTGACAGAGTGAAGCTTCATCAAAAAAAAAAAGAAAAGAGAGATGAGGAAAGGAGAGGAGAGGAAAGAAAAGAAAAGAAAAGAAAGGGAGAGAGGTAAATAACTTGCCCAAGGTCATAGAGCTTGAAAGCAGTAAAGTCAGGTTCTGAATCCAGGCAATATGTCTCCAGTGCTATTTTGTTCTGCTGCTGCCTGCATGCATCTGTGTCCTGAGACCTTTATAAGCACTGTCTGATATGGCCCTCATAACAACCATATATATAGAGTAGGCATCATTGATTCCACTTTTATAAGAGGCTTAGAGAGGCTAAGTAACCCACCCAAGGGGTATATAGTGAGCCAAGATGCAAGCCCTGTTCTCTGATTCCAAAGCTCAGAAACCAAATCTTAAGAAGAGGTAATTCTTGGTCCTTATTCCCTACACTACATAGTGCAAGCTCTGCCTATGGCAGGCTGTTTTCCCATCATCCTGTTCCAGCTGTGCACCTATCACAAAGATGGACATCCTAGGCAGACAGCCTGTGGGACGAACCAGGAGGGCTGGCTCCAGTAAGGCAGGAGCTTGAGATGAAAATGAATTCTCCTACGCAACAGTCCTACAATTTGTGCCAGTGAGACACAAGATCTGCGAGAAGAAAAAAAAAAAAAAAAAAAACATTCATTTATAAGAGCAGGCTTTTACCTAAATGATGCCTTCCAGCTGAACAGCCTAAAGTTTCTCATGCCACCTCAAAATGTGAGCATAAGCAAGCAAGGAGGTTTGGGATCTTTCCATTTTGCTGACAGAAAGAGGAAAAGCATAGAAAAGACATGTAGTTTGTTTAAATCTCACCACCAGCCACAGACAGAGCCAGACATCAGTGGGGTTTTATCCTGCAATCTCACCTGTTACCTATGGTCTAAAGGGAATTTTTGGTATTACAGCCTTTAGGAAAAAAGCACAAAAACTTGAGACATACATACATGTATCAATCAGCAGATACCTGAAAAAGAAAAATTTCAGAAGTTTTGCATCTTTTCCTAGTTTCTCTGTTGCTTTCACAGGTTTGGGGTTTTTGATTTTTTGTTTTTAACATATGTCATTTGCCTCCCATGTCAGGACAAAAGCACATTATAGACACATGGTAAAATGGCAGCTGCCCATTTACTCTTTTACCTCAAACAGTCCCTGGCTTGCCTGCAAGGACCCTGAAACCAAACAGCAGCTGACTACAAGGCTGAGGAAAAAGGCTACTGCCATCTAAAAGTAGGAGAGAGGAAAAGGTGAGTGAATTACAATCTTTTTTTTTTTTTTTTTTTT